TAGAAAAGGGGTCTAAAAAGTTGTACGAGAAAGTAGGCGATAAATATATGAAAACATTTTTTAAGAAATAAAGATATATTCTAGATAAGGGCTAACTTATGTACTTTTGTTCTTAAAATTAATAACTAAAATAACTAGTAGGTAAATATCGAAACATCTACTTCACTAGAAATATTATTTATATTAAGTACTATAATGTAATTATCATAATTAAAAAAAAAAGTGACAACTAACAACAAAAATTTAAAACTAAACTGAGAAAAATTCGTTACATTAAACAAACCTTCAAATTTAAGGATGTTTGGGAGGTACAATCGGAGACAATAACAAACGTTATTCCAAATTTTTATTTGTCTCGTACCGTTCTGACATACCTCCCAAACATCCTTAAATTATAAAACGTTAACCATGGCTAGCATTGTTAATATAACAATAGTTTTACGCAGTATTAATTTTGTTGTTGCATCTAATACAATCTTTTCTGTTAAAATGCCTAGATTTTAAGTTATTCCCATGCAGCTTCTCGTAACTCCCCCCAAGTTGAGGCACCGGTCCTCCTTAACTCTTACCTCCCCGCCGCCATGCAGATAATAGCCCACTTGACTGATCTGATGAAATACGATGTTAAACCAGCGAGTTATTTCACCACCACACCAAAACCTACAAGTCCCCACTGGCCATCAATTTTCGCCCCCACAAGGCCCCCCAAGGTTCCGGCATTAAAAAATATATATTACGAAAGAAGCGCCCCTAATGGCGAAGTAAGTCCACAAACCCTTCCAGACAAAAATAAATATATTCAAATAAAAATTATTTCAAGATTCCAAAAGAAAGCCCGTTGGAGCCCCGAGGAAATGAAAACAATAATGAATACGTAAATGGGCCTCTTCCCGATGACCTGTACTTATTTGGGATAGGACCCAGCCAGCTTTTAAATATAATAAATAAAATTGATGAAAATAATTTCGAAAACGAAGAGAGACAAGTTCTGAAATTTTTAGAAACGTATGATGATTACAATGTCAAGCAATACGTCATTGGTAACAAAAAAACTCCACCCACAAGGGCCTATGTCACCCTATTATCACTCTACGACCAGTTGAATGCTGAAGCGAAAAAGCTAAAGTTGAGTAAATATGGGGTAAGTTATTTCACAACATTCTAAAACAAAAGAAAACGTTGTATAGGTTAAATCTAGTTGGCTATAGTGTATTTGTTTTAGGGTTACACACCAATTGTTTTAAAATTTCTTGAAGAAAATTGTACAGGAACTTCAACCCACCAATTACTTTCCGTATTACACAAAACAATCGAAAACAGAGATACCGACAACGCAAAAGTAATAGAAAGAATAAATAATATGATTAAAGATTTGGAAACAGCAAACAGCTACGTGAATCAAGCATTACTATATGTGCCACCATTACACTTTGATTTTTTTGCTTAACAGTGGTGCATATAAGTAAAATAATTACTTTAATCTAATTAGATAGATAGGCCTTAAATAAAATTTTGTATTAATCTTATAAAGAAGGAAATGTGATGTTTTATTTTGTTTCATTTTAGTGAAACGCAAAATAAACTTTTTCTTTATTATTGACTTTTAGTGCTTTGTATTTTTAATAATAATAAATAATAAATGCGTTCAGTGAAAAGTGCGTCAATTTAAAAGTTGGCGCTATTGTTTTCAGACGTACAGTTCTCGCATAGTACGTTAGATGTCGCGACATACACTATTCTGGCTAAAAATACTTCCGATATAAATTTAGTAATTAGAAGATACAGCAAATGTTCGTAACAATATAGTACATAAACCTACAAACAAAAAAATTAAATCTAAATAGCTAATTTACTATAATAACACATTTTAATACGAATTTTCAAAATCGAACAGTATATTTAAAAGCACAGAAGCCTCCTAAAGCGCATGCGCTTTAACAAAGTGGTTGCGTTTTGAAGTGAAGTGAACTGAAGTGATGGCAGACTTTTATTAAGAAGTTTTAAAATATACTTTTTATCACAGTTACTTTATTAATGTGTAACTAACAAGCGTCATTTGAAGTCTACAAATGGTATGATTTACTTTTAAGGTATTATTTATTTATCAAAAGTATTTAATCAGACATATAAATAACTTTATCAATCTATTAGAGACCTGATCCTATTACTATGTG